CCAGTCGCTGACCAATCTGGCCTTGGTCTTTACATTGTGTAACATTAATGACTCTGCCCTTATGACCCATTTCCCAAATAAACAAACTTTTCCTAGCAGATCAGATAAGGCCCGACCTTATCTTCCTGATCTTCCTGATGTCATAGATTCCCAAGTAGGCCTCTATGCGGACGACACTACTATTTACTTCTGCCTCAAAAACAAATCTAGTGTCGCTGATAAAACTAACCTGGCCGTTTGTCTCAAATCGATTGTGGACTGGGACAGGAATTGGCTGGTTAATTTTAATGCTTCAAAAAACAAAACCGCTCTCTATTGCTCACCACAGGGAACCAACCCTGCCTCCCATAAGAATGTCTGACACTCAAATCCATGAGAGCACCTCTTTGCGGATGCTCGGTCTCACATTGTCTGCTGGCCTGAAATGGAACAAATACATTGAGGCAATAGCTTTGGCCACCGCAAGGAAAGTTGGCTGACTGTGCCGTGCCAGGAAATTTTTCTCACGGAGTCGATCCTTCAAGTCTACAAATCAACCATTCACCCTTGCATGGAGTATTGCTGCCTTGTATGGTCTGGAGCCCCTTCTGTTTGTCTCAAGGTCCTTGATAAAATCCAGAGACGGATATGCAATGTAATTGGCCCTGATCTGGCATCTAGTCTGCAGTTGCTCTCACACAGACGTGCCGTCGCCTCCCACTGTCTTTTTTACAAATACTTTCACGGTAACTGCTCCGATGAGCTGCTTTCGCTGGTTCCCAGACTTCATGAATTTAAGCGCTCAACTACGTTGGCATCTCGTTCTCACCCTTTCCCTGTCGAAACTGTTAAATGTAGCTGTTTCTTCTACTCCAATAGCTTCATGTCTCTAAACTTCTCGCCTATGGAACTCCCTCCCCTTTTCTAGTTTTCCTGATACCTATAATCTCCACCTATTCAAATGTAATGTCAATCGACGTCTCCAGATACCTTGATCTTTCTCCTATCCTTCTCTTCATCCTTTCCTCTATCACTCCTATTTGCTCTCGCTCCAAATCTCTGTAACCCCTTGCGTGATAGTGGCTTCCCGCCTTGCTTAGGGTGAAACGCTTTAAAAAAAATTTAAAAAATAACTATGAAACACAGGTGTAAGTCTCGCTGGAGACTAGGGTCCTTTTTTAAATTCTCCGTTGGGATTGGAAATTCTCGAAATGGGATGAGTTTTGTAAGTTGATAGACTTTCATGCGATTAAAGATTTAGAAAGCGTCATTTCGTATAGGACGATGTTAGAGGCGTGAGGTACTCAGTGAGTATCGCATTCAATATTCGCACTAATTTGTCTGCGGTAGCGGCTGGTCGATTTCTACTGTTCAGTGTCTAATCTCGCTTTGTTCGTTGAAATATAGAATGTACTGTTTCTTTATCTTGTTAATGTTGGTCAATGGCTGCCTGCGGGCGTTTATAAATCTGTCTCAGTTTCTGCGGATTTCCATAAGCCCTTCATTTCCCTTCCTCGCCCCACCTCCATTCTACAAATATAAGTCAGTTCGACTACATTCCTACATTCCTAACTAACAATCCACTTTATTTCTATGTCTTATCAACATATCCTTTCTCCTTCTCTTTCTCTCCCTTCATTGCTAAGTAATGTTACCTATATCAGTACACGTCTATCTATTTAGGTGATAGGGTTACTTATTTTTAAAATATATATATATATCTTTGAAACTGTTATAAAATAATTATGATCTTTGTCTCCGTCTGTTTCTGTTTCTCAAACAGAGAGAGAGAGAGAGAGAGAGAGAGAGAGAGAGAGGGAGGGGGGGAGAAAGAAAGAAAAAAAAAAAGATCAACCGATTATTCACACTTCTTGAGCTTCCGTGACATTTTTACCATTTCTTGAAAGAGGAATTTAACAAGGCCAGTAAATAAGCAAGTATATATATATCAGATTCCATAGCGTTACGAAGCGAAAAAAAAAGAATTCTTACATTTTCAAGGATAGACCAAAGAAAGAACTTGTTTGTTCTTTCATATTACAGGAAGAGACTTTATGATTTTGCAAAGCAAGCCATATTTATGGGCTATCATATAAACAAAGAAGCATTTGGGAGTTAATCGTCAACATTGAGTCGGGGGTTCGATCCTCAAAGCTGGATCCATACTTATGGTTATATAACGAACTACCGAACTAAGCTAGCGAGTACAAGACGTATTGAGTTGGTTACGCAGAATAATCTACATGTGTGATCAGTTTAGTCTATCCAGTGGGGCCATATTAGTATAGCCATGTGTACGGCTAAGGTAAGCTTAGTAAATTTATGTCCTGTCTGGCCGTAATTTATACCAATACACAAGATCCTGGAAATATAAACACATAGACATACACAGGCTAGAGGAAAACGAGAAATTAAAAAAAAATAGTCCAGTTAAGAGTGTGTATAAAGTCAAAAATAAAAAAAAAAACAAAGAAAAGGACAAATAACCGCGATGTGCTAAACGTAGGCACATAAAAAAAATACATGGGAGCATGTACACAAAAACGTACACAGGCACTCACACGTACAGTATGCTTTTGTAGATGGTGTGTTTCCTGATGGAAATCGTATGATGACGAAGGACACAGACGTGTCGGAAAATTCCGAATTTAAAACTTTTCTTTATTTCCTTCATTTCAGTCATATGGTTAATATTTTATAAATGTTTATCCTACTGATTATATTGGTACCTTTTGTTTTGTCCTTGTTTTATAAACTAACCTATTTTACACACACACACACACACACAAACACAACAATGATAAACACACACACACACACACACACACACACACACACACACACATATATATATATATATATATATATATATATATATATATATATATATATATATATAATAAATCTTAAAGAACGAGGTCTTCAGGGTAGACTGGCTAAAAATATATACTGTTCCGCCATTTTTTTTTTTAGCCAGTCTAACCTGAAAATCCGTTTAGGTGAAACTTAGGTAGGTTTTCCTGACTCGTTAGGGTTTATTACTATTTTTTTATTCTCTCTCTCTTTATATATATATATATATATATATATATATATATATATACACATACACGTTAGGGAGAGGCATAACAAAAAGCCAAACATTAAATTGTGTATATTAAGAAATCTAAAGACTAACACAGTAATCGGGAATATAGGCTATGTGATGAAGAAAAACTATCTATAGCAATGTATAAGGACCACACTGAATTACTGAACGAGAGGTCAGAGATCATGACTAAGTGTAGACACGTTAAAAAGTTCAGCTTGGGGTTATTTGAACCCGGATGAAGTTAAAAAAATTATTTATATACTTTTTTACACTTCCCCCCACTATTTCCGGTTTAGAACGAAAGTGTTTAAATTGTTGAGCTCCGTGTCGCTGGTTTTCTGAAGAAACGACCAGAGGAGACTGTAATGCTCTAAACCGCAGTAGGGTTCTGGTCAACATTCATTTTTTGAAATTTATATATATATATATATATATATATATATATGTATGCATTTATTGTATATATATATATATATATATATATATATATATATATGAAACAGATTTTTTTATTTTTTTTATTTTTATACCTCCCCCACTGCTTCAGGTCTCGAACGAAATTGCTTACGCTGTTGAGCTCGGTGTCGTTGATTCGCTGAACAAACGACCTGTGGAGACCGTAACGATCGAAATTGAGGCAGTATTCTGGCAGCATTAATTTTTTTAAATATATATATATATATATATTTATATTTGTGTGTATGTGTGTGTGAATCCGAAACAAAAATGAGAATAATGAGTTATTCTAATCATAAGAAATTCTTACCTGAAGTAGCCAGAAGGAGCAGGCGCTATTGGCGAAACGCGTCGTTTATTCACTTGTCTCCTTATCTTTATACAAATGCGCAGACACGCACGCACGCACACACACACTCACACACAACACACATGTGTGTGTGCCGATACATTTATGGGTATATTATGTTCTCGCATACACAAAACATTAAGTTAAGATAAATGTTTGTATTTAAGTTTTTGCAATATTGTAATAATGAGCGTATGATCAAATAAATATGTGTGTGTGTGTAGAAAGGGAGATTTTGGTATATAATATCTATTTATCTATGTATCTATCTATGTATATGTATGTATGTATGTATGCCTACGTGTTCATAATGTGTGTCATGCAATGTACCTGGTGTGGCTCTGTGCACCTATGCATTATGCCTTTTGATCTTTGCCGCCTCATAAGCATCGATGTCGATGTTGCTACATATGGAGTTGCTTTTGATTTGGGGGCTTAATACACTTTGTCGGCCAAACATCAAAGGACTTGACGTTTAAGTTTCTCAGGGAGACTGACGGAAGCTTCCCTTCCCACCCCCTTTTACACAATCTTCACCTCTGTTTTGTTTTTACATACTTACACTCATCCACCGTTCACAGAATTAGTCAGAGGGTTTAACCAGCCAACCACCCACCCAATCTTTTTTTTTTTAGTTGGTTTTATTTTTTCCTTTCTCATTTTTCATTTTCTTTCATTTTTTTTTTCTTTTTCATTTTCTTTACTTATTGTATTTATTTTTAATTTTTGTCATAGCCTCTTTCATTTTGTTGATCTTTTATCTTGTTTTTTAGACATTTGTGTTTTTCTTTTTCGCTTTTTTCGTTCCTTCCTTTCATCCTTCCTTCTTTTATGCTTTCCTTCCTTTCTTTCATTTCTTTTTATTTATTTCTTGCTTTCTTTTTTCATTTGTTTCAACTTGCTTTTTTGCTTTCTTCCTCTTTTTTTTTTCTTTCTTTTTCTCATATTATTTCTTTCGTTCCGTCTTTCTTTCATTTTCATATATTTTCTTTCTTTCCTTCTTTTTCTAGTTCATTTGTTGTTTTCTTTTTTCTTTTCTTTCTATTTTGACTTTCTTTTTATTTATTTCTTTGTTTTTTATATTCTTTCTTTCATCTTTCCTTTCTTTCTTTGTTCACACATTTTATGCCTTCTTTCCTTTCTTCCCTATCTTTTTCTTTTTTCTTCTTTTTTTCTTCCTTTCTTTCTAATTCCATTTTGCTTTCTTTCTTTCTTTTCCATATTATTTCTTTCATTCCGTCTTTCTTTCTTATATTCTTTCTTTTTATATGTTTCTTTCTTTCTTTCTTTTTTATCCTTTATATTCTTTCTTTATTTCTTCCTAGTTCCTTTTTACTTTCTTCCTTTTCTTTTCTTTTTCTGTCTTTCTTTTCATATTCTTTCTTTCTTTCTTTTTGTATTCTTTCTTTCACCTTTCCTTTCTTTCTTCACAATTTTTTATGTGTTTCACATTTTTATTTCATTCTTATTTTCGTACCGATGGCTTTTCTAACTTTCACACACACACACACACACACACACACACACACACACACACACACACACACACACACACACACATTCATTTTTCTGAACTCGGTTGAATATTTTCCGTTCATTTGTTTCTTTTTTACACAAAATGTCGCCAGTATTTTTATTCTTGAAAAACGCATTTACCGTCGAAACGTCTTTATTTGTTCCTCTCTTTCATATTCTAATTTCTGAGTGCTTTACCATTTTTAAAATGTCTTTTGAGATCTCTTCGTGTTCTTTGTTTACCTCGTCTTATGAAGGACCGATTAATCCTTTCAATAAATGTTCTTATTTCATTCTTTGATTGTCTCTCACCAAATCTACCATTGAATGAACAGCTAATATTTCTTTAGATCGACGCATTTGAGTCATTTACCGTGTTGCCAGCATTAGACACTTGGTAGTATGGCGTCATGATTTAGTCGTAGCAATCGGGCTTAATACCAACCATCTAACGATTTACTCCGTTTAAGAGGTCGATCGAGCTTTTTAGCGCGTAACAATTTATTTTCAAAAGATAGAATATCTCATTTCGGTTTGTCTGTGTGGAGGTAGATGCATAAAGCAAGATTTCTAATTTCCAGGTTATTTAACTAAGTGAACCGGTGCAAAATCCAGGAGGAGGCTTGACTATTAACTGTATCCATTATATTATGCATCCACTGGTCTCTCCCATTCCGCCTCTGTCGTGTCCTTTTCGTTGATTATTTCCAATGTTCGTTTACAGATTTATCTAAATAAGGTTTTCTCAAACCACCTGACGATTGCGTCTAATCTGACGCCTCTAAGCGTTGACTGCAATGTTCACTTTCATATTTACATACGTTCTCTCTCTGATAATGAGCACTTTATCCCATAAATATAGCACACCTTAAAATTATATTTTTCATATATCATATATATATATATATTTATATATATATATATATATATATATATATATATATATATATATATATAACTTATTATAAAAACGCAGATTGTGTGTGTGTGTCTGTATGTTTATATATTGGATCGGATTTCCTACATTTTTCAACAGATTTCAACAAAACTTCACAGGACTGCGTAAAATTACCTTGCAGTGGTTCTGACAGCGGCCAAAATTGGGAAAAACACAATTGTTTTTGCACGAAATCAATTTGAAAACACGATAAAACACGATTCTATCGCCAGAATGAAAGGGGGGCAACTCGTATCAAGTTATACTTATTATAAAACCCAGGTTGTTTGTGTGTGTGTGTGTTCGTTTATATATGGGATCGGATTCCCTACATTTTTCAACCAATTTCAACAAAACTTCACTCTTTTTTAGCAGGTAGTGTTTCTTATTGTCTTGCTCACTTTTTTCTTTATTTTTACATTCAGAATGCTTTAGAAATTCCATTTACAAGACAATTGTTTATAATCAAATTCTATTCAATCGATAGACTCATAACGATTGAAAATAATGTTTTTGTTTGAGTTTGGGTTTGACCAATTCGTAAAAAAACAAAAAAACAAAACAAAAACTAATTAAGACATGCGTGTCCGTCAACCTTAAGCAATAATCTTTGTCAATTTTATTTTTCAGTCTTTATGATGGTCGATATTTGATCTATCTCTTACTGTTACATCCCCAGGCAACGCCGGGCTCTACTGCTAGTACTCTTATAAATATAAGCAACTATACTCGTCCTGCAAAACCTTAGGTATTTAAGCCTGTAAATGAACGAGCCAATGTGATTTCAAAAAATAAGGGTAAAAAAAATAAAGAACTAAGAACATATACTTTCCGGCGAAAATAATTGTCTAGAATCTAAGTTCAGAGTCCAAAAAAAAAAAACCTCCGACACAAGTAAAAGTAAAAAATAACTAAAATCAAAGTGCTCAATACGCTAAGTAGAGCAAACTAAGTTAACCTAAAGAGCCAGACAAACCTACCTAGGTTTCACCTACATGCGGATCGTCAGGGTAGTGGTTCTATATATATATATATATATATATATATATATATATATATATATATATATATAAATTTGGTTGGATAGATGTGATTTCAAACCCTGGGTTTCACAATTTAGACGAGAGATGAACAAATATGTAAATAATTATACATGTGTATATTTATTTATATATATTTACTTTTCACACACACACATATATATATATATATAATATATATATATATATATATATATATATATACATACATATAATATATATACATATATAAAATAATATATATATTTATATAATATATATATAAATATATTTTATATATATATAATATATATATAAAGATATATATAGGAGAATATAAATATATATATATATTAATTATATATATATATATATATATATATATATATATAAATCAATATATATATATATATATATATATATATATATATATATATATATATATATATATAAATAGTTTATAAAAATATAAATCCGTAGAAAGTAAATTATAATGGAGGATAATATCAGACATGTTTTCAATGTAAATTCCAAGCAAATAAATTTGAATTTCAGAACAAACCATACAATTTTTCCATATAATGATATTTTTTTAAAAAAAACGTGATAAAATGGAAAAAATTTTACTTCAAAGGTTGAAGTAATGTCTGAAAAAAAAATTAAAAAAAAAAAAAAAAAAAAAAAAAAAAAAAACATGGAACCTTAAAGTGGTCTCTTTTTTATCAATATATATATATATATATATATATGTTTATTCAGATTTAGTACTCTTATATATCGCCGTTAAATTATATTATTTATTTTTTATACAAATTTTCCATATTTTTTTAATTTTATCTATAGGTTCATTTATAAGATGTTTTCCTGAATCTAAAAAATAAAAAAAATCTGATTAAAATTAACTTGGTTTTAATTGATTATCCTCCTCCCTTTACCCTCACTGTATGAGAAAAAATTGAACATATCATTATTTATAAGATTCAAAAAAGATTTTACATTTGTTTTTTTACATGTTTTCCGTATTTGTCAATGATGTCCTATATATTTTCTGGTGTATAATGTCATGACAAAATTAATTCCCCACCCCATCCTCTGAGCATAATATATATATATATATATAGATATGACATTTAATTGGTTGATCAAAGACAAAACCACAAGTCTATTTTTTAACAAATGACCTTTTGTTTTTCCTCCATATGTTTATCTATTTGTGAAAAAAATCAAATAATTATAAATTTTTTGATTCTTTTTTATTGCCATATTTAGTCACCCGTCACTTACCATCACCTGAAGAGGTACAATGTAGTGTCGAAACATGAAAGCTATTGTGCAGCGATTTCAACATGTTTTTGTTATAGCTTAGAATAAAATAATAATAATAATAATATATCGATTTCAATGTTTTGTATTAAAGCACTGTTTAAAATAAAAGCTAAAAAATTGCGGAATTTTATTTCATCTGTTCTTTCTCATATATATATATATATATATATATATATATATATATATATATATATATATATATAAAAAAACTAAAGAAAGATTATATATAATTGAATGTTTTTCATTGATATTTTTATTTTAAAAATAATGCTCATGTGTTTTGAAAATATTTATATATATATATATATATATATATATATATATATATATATATATATATATGTGTGTGTGTGTGTGTGTGTGTGTGTGTGATCACAAAAATTCCTTTTAGAGTTGTGAATATTATTTTATTTATATTAAACATAACGGAGGATTATTTTTTTTTTTTTTTTTTTTTAATTTTATTTGCATTAATAATTGGCATTATAACTCCAAAATTATATTTATATATATATATATATATATATATATATATATATATATATATATATATATAGAAGCCGTTTTGTAAATTTGTCTTTTTATTGGTTCATTACCCTCTGGATTTCTGGACTGGGTATACATTATCCGTATATAATACGCTAACATTTCCCTTTTTCTTAGGATGGGGATAGGATCTCTGATTAATGCCAAATCGGTTGGGTTTGGATCCCGGCTTGACACACTGATGAGCCATGTATGGAAAAATATATATATATATATATATATATATATATATAAATATATATATATATATATTCCATTGGATCCCAGAATATTTTTTTTCATATAGATAAGTCGAGACCGAAAATCTGGGTAAACTTTAGTAATTTTAGCTGATATTGGACTCATATGACGAAACTCTAAACGATGATGTTTATGATGTTATAGTAATTTTGAAGGGTTTTAATTATTTAGGTCAGTGTCATGTGTGTTTTAATTTTGTAATGAAAAATAAAGATTTTATAGCATTATAAATGTCTTGTTGCTTAAAACCGCAAAAATACCGTATAATGTATGATATTGAAAAATAAATGGAATCTTGCATATAATACTAATTGCCGCCGTTATTTAATGATACAATGATAATAAATTTTAATTAGAAATCTACATAGTCTGCTATCCTAAATATTGGTATTCATGAAACTCTGAGAAATAATGATTGGCGTGAACGCCCCCCCTCTATAAATCATGAACGAAAGATTTACTTACATTACTTGTTACTTGTGTATTTTTGCTCAGCTGATCTTCTACACATTGTTGTCTAACCATCTTTTGAATATTGCATTTTAATCTGAAATCAAGAAGTAAAAGTAGTTTTTAGTACATTTATAACTGAAATGCTTATCAACATTATTGTCGTGAAGTTCGTAACAACAGAACAATTGTAGTAAGTTTAGTCATCAAGTGATTTGCTTCTTTTCGTTTTTTTTTCTCATTTCAAGAATTAAAATTCCAACGGAGAATAGAAAAAAACCCTAGTCTCCAGCGAGATTTTTAAAATAAATGTTTTTTGTTAGTTTTTTTAAGCGTTTCACTCCAAGCAAGGCGGGAATCCGC